TTTGACCCCGGAACAGAGTTTTGATAGTACGTTAGGTCCGGATGGTGATTTTGGACTTGGGCATATGTCCGCATTTGTATTTAGATGTTTCTAGAAAATTTCTGCGCTAATTGGCAAAAGTTAGAAATTTGAAGGTGTGAAAAGTTCATAAGTTTGACCGAGAGTTGACTTTGAGGATATCAGATTTAGATTGTGGTTCCGGGAATTGGAATAGCTTCTTTATATTATTTGGGACTTGTGTGCAAAATTTAAGTTCATTCCGGGTTGATTTGATATGTTTCGGCGCGGGTTTTGAAAGTTAAAAGTTCAAAAGTATATTAAGTTTGATTTGAGGTGCGATTCGTTGTTTCAATGTTGTTATGCGTGATTTGAGGCCTCGAGTAGGTCCGTGTTATGTTACGAGGCTTTTTGGTATGTTCGGACGAGGTCCCGAGGGGTTCGGGTGAGATACGACCTTTATCATTTGGAATTATTTCCTTGGGCATGATTTGATGTTCTTTAGTTGCTTTTGGCTAGTTTCGAGTCACTCAGAGATCGGTACGTGCGGGATGGCATTTTTGGAGCATTGCTTGGCTTGATCGGTATTGGATTTGGCTTGTTCTAGGTAAGTAACACTTCTAAACTTAGTGTTGAGGGTATGAAACCCCGAGTTACGTGTTGTGTAATGGATGTTGAGGTGACGCGCATGCTAGGTGACGAGCATGTGGGCGAGTACCGTGTGCATTGTGATTTAGTCGATTCCATGAAACTATGTAGCTAACTTATCTGAACATTTTTACTTTACTCTGTGTGTTAGAGCACCCGAGCTGTAATTGATGCTAGAAGTCATGTTTAGGCAACATGCTGGTATTATTGAGACCCATAGTGGTCGTTCTTTGCTAGTGAGTTCTTTGCTTAATTGCAGTTATGTACTCAGTCGCATTCATCATTACATATTATATCTCGGTCTCTGTTATCGTATATTGTCACATCTCGTATCATTTATTAGGGCTGATTAGCATGAGCATTGTGAGCCCGAGAGACAAGAGAGATTAATGACCGAGTGAGGCCGATGACCTGATTGTGAGTGATAATTAAGGGATCGGGCTGCACGCAGCAACATGTATTTTATTTATTTATGCCTGTATCTGGCTTATTATAGTGCTTGAGCTGAAGGAGCCCCTCCGGAGTCTGCACCCCCACAGTGAGCGCAATGGATATTATGTTTGGGATGGAGTTCCATGGGCATGGATTTGCCCTATATATTCACATTTGGGATGGAGTTCCCTAGGCATGGAGTTGCCCTATACTTTTATATTTGTGATGGAGTTCCCTAGGCTGGATTGCCCCTATACGGTACTGAGTGACTGACTGTCAGTCACTATTTATATTGAGGGATGGATCTTCCTTGGGCTGGACCTGTCCCGTACAATACTGAGTGATTGAGTACTCCGAGAGTGTGAGTACATGAGTTTATCACTGAGATACATTGCATTTGACATGCGTACCTCATATACATACATAGAGATGCATTTCCTTCTACTACCAGGTTTTTTGTGACATTCATGATTTTACCTGTATGTTGACATGTAGGAATAGAGATATAGTTTCCTCATGCTACCTGAAAATAAAACATCTTATTTATTGTTGAAAGGTTTTTGGGAAAAATCACAGTTATTAAACTTACTCATATATTTTGGGGGGTTTTTTGGTGAAAGATTTGGGATCTACTATTATACTTGACAATCATGCCTATTTTTCGTAAGTGTGAACGAGCCGAGTTATTTCTTGTACCATCTTTATTATACTATTATGAATTATTGCTGGTTATTGGAGTTGGACTCTGGCCCTTGTCCCACCTCGTCACTACTTTCAACTTAAGGTTAGGTTTGTTACTTATTGAGTACATGGGGTCGGTTGTACTCATACTACACTTTTGCACCTTGCATGCAGATGTTGGATACCGATGTTGCTGCGTACGGCGGGAGCTGGATCGGAAGATGTACCTGCGTTCTAGTTATGACTATCACTTGTCCTTGGTAACATTAGATCTGAATTATGTTCATTTACATTTCGAACAGGTGTTGTAATTATTTCACTTCAGTCCTGTAAAAATCTAAATCTTAGACGCTCATGATTTGTACTACCAGTCCTTGAGGAGTTGTATAGAATTCAGTTATCTCATCTTTGACTCACATCATTATTATTATATTGTGTTTTATTATTAGCTGGCTTACCTGACGGATGGATTATGGATTAGATGTCATCATTACAGTTTAGATTTTGGGTCGTGACAGGACAACTTTGATCTAATCCTTAATAAGGTTTATAAAACTAACAGTAAAAGAAAGAAAGGTTTACGGTAAATGTTAGCTAAAAGTTAAGAAGACCGTAAGTATCACATTAACAAGGGAGAAGAGAAGAATTCCATAATTTCTTCTCTTTGCTTTCGCGCTAAAATCATTCTTCCAATTTTCTCTATTTGGCTCCAAAATTATTCTTTTAAAGTTGCCGGTACAATATTTGAATATGCTATGTTGAATCGACCTTTTAATTACAAGCTAAAAATTAAAGCACCTTTTCTATTATTTTTTTAGGTTAGAAGAGGAGAATTAGAACGTGAGAATTGAGAAGTAAAGATTGGATGTTGTTCGAATTTTTAGTTGGTTTGGAATGATGTTCAGGTTACTGTAACTGCTATTTTTCTTTTTGGAAGTTAAATATAATATGCAATTGCTGAAACTATTAAAGACTTCTTACTGAAACTAGAAGTTGTTGAAAACTTTTTACTTTTCAAATATTTGAACAACATATGCCATATAAAATTCATCTTTTGAGCAAACTGTAACTATGTTTTGATGCTTTAATGCATGATATCATTTTGAAGATAATATTTAGTTCACTTGGTTCTTAGTTAATATATCATGTGATGATTCCATTTAATTTTTTTCAAGCAGATGGTGATGGAATTATTATCAATTCACTGTTATTGATTAACTTATCGAAAGAAAAAAACTATTTCATTCATATACACATGATTCGACAACAACATTCATTTATAAAATAGTTACTATTTCAACTTCAATTTACAGCTAAAACTAGTCATACTTATTATAACTTCAACTAACAACTAAAACTAGTAATACATATGGCAACTATATCACTAAGTTGCAGGCAAGATGTTGTGAACTGTTGATGGCAAACATCGTGAATTTCACATTCACTAAAACTTTTTCTTCATTTTCTCAAATTCAACTTTCATCTTACATACAAAAATTCAATTAGGATTCTAACCAGGCTTCAACTTCTCCTACTTTTTCCGTTAATTTTGGGATCACGACTATAGATCTTGATCTTTACAATAGAAAATAAGAATAACTTTAGTTAAATATATATAAAGCAGCACTATATAGACAACACGTGTTTTCAAGTAAGTTCCAACTATTAATTTTATTTACAAGAACCATGCTACTGAAATAGTTCAATATTGCTGAACATTACTCCCCAGTTTCATAGTCCATGATGCAAAAAAATTCATATGTCAAGTTAAAAGAGCAAAAATATTTATCTTAAAAAAAGTAAGTAGCTTGTAAACCAAAATAATCATACATATACTAAAAGAAAGATCATATATTTTTCATATTTTTGACCATAAAGTTGTGAAACAGAAGGTTTGAATTCTTACAAATAAAAGCCCAAAGCATAGAACTACAAACTGGTAATAAACGATAGCTTCAAAAGCTTCAACCGCCGCTACTTGGATAAGAACAAAATCACATGAATCGGTTGCAAGAATTCGAAAGCAAAAAATTAACAATGCATCGCTTTAACAAATCCTAGATGATTACACAATATCACTTAATTTATAAATTATTTTCAGTCGAACTTCGATTCTGGATTATCCTGTCCCTCCACTGACTAGACTCATAGTTTCTACATTAGAAAGGGTTGAGTTCGATTTCTAGGGATTTTGGGAGAAAGAGTGGAGTTCAATTCTAGGGATTTTAGGAGAAAAAAGGTTGATGGGCGGGAGAGCCAGAGAGCGAAGGGCAAAAATAATTGATGGATATTAACATAATAGTTAACTAGTAGTTGATAGAGAAAAAACTTCATTGCTTTTAACTCAACTTGATGCTTTTACCATTAGTTTTATAAACTTTATTTAGTGTTACACTAAAGTTGTCCATTTTTATAAAGATAAAAGGATATTCTATATTAAGTAGTATAAACAAGAGATAAAAGTACTCCTATAACCATACTCTAAATATTGAAATCTAGACTTATTGCTAGCGTTTGCCCATAAATTCTCAAATTTATTTTAAAAAATTTGATTTGCGCAAAATTTGGTTTGAAGATTAAAATCTGTTTGGAAATCGTTTTTCAAAACACATTTCACTTAAAAAAAAAAATGTGACTTATACCCATAAGTTCTAAAAACTATCAAAAATATCCAACAATACCAAACAGACAAACTTGCTAATCATCTATATGCAGAACCTTCTTCGACGCCATTCATTATCATTATCACAAACAAACATAGATAGGTTTGGCACAAATCATTATTTTTATAATGAACTACATAATACACTATCCTAAAATCATAACCTGATATTTTAATATCAACTGCTAATAACACAATTACTAGCTACTACAATTCGTCAAATTGCAATAATATTACAAGATCCATCAGTTTTAAAAAATGATAGTAATTAGCTGGTAAATTAGTTGGGTCATAATAGATTGTGTATTTTTTTTATAAAATACAAAAGTTTGGGATCGTTTTTGAAATTGTTAAAAAAACCAAAGGTAATATTTTGGGCCAAAAACAGGTGTAAAGCTAGTTTTGGGATTTAAAAATTTTGTTTTCAAAATTTGCCCGGATAAAATCTATAAACAAACGGATTTTGCCAAAAAGGTTTTGGAAAAAAATTTGACAAAATCTACGGCCAAACGTTTTTTTTTTTGTGTTTTAAACTTTAGCCTCAAATACTTCCTTTTTTTCTTTTAACCGCAAATGGTTCACTAAATCCAACTTTATACGGACAAGTTAACATAGAACATTAGAATCATCAAAGTGGAACTCAGATACCTTAGCTTTCTTACAACGCGGTCCACGGGGCTGGTGGATCCACTAAAAAAAACGTCATCTTTGGTTATCATCAATAAATATAAGGGCTAGCATATATTTTATTTTAAAATTGAGATCTCAATTCCAAATTTATCACTCTGTTCATCAGCTTAAACCCTACATATTATTTTTCTCTCAGCGTCAGCCCGTGAAAATGTTCAAGAAGTAAGTGCACTCCTTTCCTTTTTCCCTACTGGAGCTCTAGGTTCAATTTCAGAGTTCTCTTGTTATTTGATTAATTTCCATGGAATTATTAGACAATCTTGATTTCATTTTGAAGTACATTCCGTGCCTGATTAGTGATTTTACTTATCTATTTTGGTTAAGTACGGGAATTAAGGGTGCCTGCAAGTGATTTTACTTTTTCTATTGTAAATTGCTTACTTTGGCTGTTTTGTTTGATTTTCTTGATTGTTAGGTAAATGATTTATTGGTCATTTAAAAAATGAGCTGATGTAGTTGTTTTATTCACTTATTACTTTTTTGCTTGTTCTCAACTTGTCTATAGACTATATTCATGAGAAATATGTTTTTTTCCCTTTCTACATTGTTGGAGTGATTAAGGATGTTTGCTGCAGCAGGCTCCGGGGTCTGTACGCTATAAATATAAGCAACACATAGTTGTCAGTGTAAGAAAAAGTAATTCTTGCACAAGCTAGATGTTCAATCCAGCAGATCCTCATCTATAAATGTGGACGTAAGAATTAAACAATTGATTATAATGCCTTCCATCGAATTTCTTGTTCCGGGCTGCAATTCATATCTGGTTTATGATGGTATTCTTTTGTGTGGTCCAGCCTCTTTATGTCCTTAAATTTTAGTATACAAGGAAAGACTTTACAAATTGTATAGTTTTATCTCCTTGGGTAAGTATCAGTGCTTTTTTGCGTAAGTAGAATGTGGTAATGTTTATGAGGTTCTCAACTTCAATTTAGCTGCTCCAAGTTTGTGTAGACCAAGTGGTTCTTTTCCTTGTATGGATTTCCTTGGCCTCAATTTAGATGAGGGGTGGGAGGATACCTCATTGGTTCTATTTTAATAGTTCTCAAACAACAAAAATCTTTTTGAGGGTTAAGAACATTAAGGGATTAGTGCTTGATACCTTTAAGAATTTAGACAGATGTTAGATGCTTGGGTGTTGTAATAGCTACCTAGAATGCTTTTAACAGAGAGGACAAAGGGGATAATCAATATTGGACTGGTTCATACTTAACTAACGAGAAATCTATTACAGCTGAAATATACATGATGCTTAAACCAGCAGGCAAGACTTGGAGCCAAAGTTCTTGCTCAAGGTTCTGATCAACATATGTAATTATATTAATATTGATTATATGATTCAGGAAATATTGTTGACAAACCATCTGACACTCGTTACAGACACCTGCATCTCAGTGCTAACTATGCAACTGTCATAGACTGTGAAATGACTGCAATATCTCAAAACATAGAGGTGTCTAAGACCCGAAGAAGGATGCAATTGAAATTCAGCTACTTGTGTTTGCAATCTGCTTTTCCTAGGGCCCTTCTTGGGTTTGGAGATTTGCTTATCATTGTACCTTCTTCTTCCCGGTGTTTCTCCTGTTTGATGTCCTCATCTACAAATTCAATGTTTTCTGGTAGCCAAGGATTAAAATGGTTAGGCTATTTACTGGTAGCCAAGGATTAAAATGGTTAGGCTATTTACTCTTATAAAGCTGATCATTGCCTAGATTGTTAAGTTCAAATGTAAATCATCTTATGGTACTTGTATCCAAACTCTTCAGTTTCCAACTTGAAGTGTACCTCTCTTTTGCACCTTTGACTTCCCTATGATTCTTGGCCATGGAAACTGTTAGCAAATGTTGTAGAAGTGTGGATGTGGGTCATACAAAATTGGAAATGGTCACATCCAAATTTCCCGAAACAGTCGCTTTCCTAATAAATTAAGTACATTTCAAGAAGACAATTCAGTAGACTAATTGGTCTGACTCAACAAATCTACAAAGTGGGCATCTCCACGATCTATGCAGCCAGCTTGCTCTCTCATTCCTCTTCTCTACCTATGCTTCTATTCCCTTCACTAGTTGATTAATAAAAAAAAAACTTGCAAATTACGCACACATTGATAAAATGAAAAAGTGTCACCTAAGATGATCTTACGTAGACCTCCATATGGACCAAGTGGTAGGTGGGACCCTATGATGATTGTAGGAGGTGACAACTGGAAATGAGATAGACCTAAATCTCTGAGAGAAGTTGTTTTAAACAACCCTCTTTGAATTCATTATGGATTTAGCTAAGGATATAACACAACGAAGTAAATGACCTTTATAGGGAATTGCTACCAGTTAGGGTCGAGGCACATTATGTCTGATATGTGTCGAGAGTTTTTTTTATCTTGGTTAGAAACTTGTATATCCATGTCGTGAAAAATGTGAGATTAAAAAGATCTCTAGTTTTGAAGAATCCCTGAGTTGCCTGAAATATAAATTATCTAATATTGCAATGAAATGTGCCTAAATAGAGTAGAATGGATATGGAGACTCATATAGCCGATCAATTATGTCTGATATGTGCCGAGAGAGTTTTTTATCCTGGTTAGAAACTTGTATATCCATGTCGAGAAAAATGTGAGATTAAAAAGATCTCTAGTTTTGAAGAATCCCTGCGTTGCCTGAAATATAAATTATCTAATATTGCAATGAAATGTGCCTAAATAGAGTAGAATGGATATGGAGACTCATATAGCCGATCAATTTCGGATTGAGGCATAATTGATAGATTGTTGATTGATTGATTAATTAATGTGTCAGACCATGTCTTTAGTGGCATGCATTTCATCCACACTGCAGTTGATTCCATCACCTACGTGTACCGGGACAAATAAGTAATAACTGCCTTTGGTCCCTCAGGCTTACATACTCATTGCAGCTTTCAGCTGTCCAACTACCTGATTGATATGAACTATTTTAATTATCCTGAGGGAATCTATATACTTTTGTATTTCGTATTGCGATGAATCAATTGACAATGGTTATGCAATTGATTTAATCAGGTGAAACAATTCAAACTAAACAGACCCTTAACCTTAAATGTCATTAAGTCAAAATTTTCTAATCAAGAATGTGTTTGTCATTAATCTTAGATCTTAAGTTCTCATGCTCAAATTTGTTAAGTATGCTGTGTCCCACTGCAGTTTATTGTGCTGAACTAAAATAACTTGGACAACTCAATCTATGTTAAATATGTAGGTTTACAACTGAAGAAGTGTCTGGACAAAATCAAGTCAAGGCATCTGTGCAGCGTAAAATTCGTCAAAGCATTGCGGAAGAGGTCCTGACTATGCTACAGACCACTTTGTTTCTTCCACACTTTATTCCAGCTAGCGCATTTCTCTGAAATTGTGGTTATAATGTGTTAATAATGTCAACATTTCTTCCTTTTGCAGTACCCAGCACTAGAGCCGGTGTTGGAGGATTTGCTTCCGAAGAAGTCTCCACTTATTGTTGCAAAATGGTTGATTTCGACTGTCTTAATGCAGTTTTTTATCTGTTGTTTTCTTCTTCTTTCATTAACATCATAGTTCGTTCATTCATCATTTCTTTTGCAGTCCGAATCATCTGAACCTAGTTGTAGTGAACAATGTACCCCTGTTTTTCAACATACGTGATGGACCTTATATGCCTACTTTACGTCTTCTGCATCAGTGTAAGTTATTCGGTTTTTTAATTTTCTTCCTCCTTTATTTTTCTTTTCCATTAAATCAAAGGTCATCCGCTTAAACTTCTGTCCTTTCTTTTGGTAACCTTTCTTATGGTTGTATCAAGTCCTTTTCAACTTTTTTATTTCTTTACTAATAAGGACTGTTATTTGGTGTTGGTTTCTTTGGATACTAGTATAGACAATCCAGATCAGATATAATTGATACTTCCGCCCTGGTAAAGTTATTAGTTTTACATGTGAAATCACTTCAAAATATTGGACGATTAGGTCATTTTTGTCATCAGCAAGTATCTCCTTAATATGCAGCCAATTCAACCCTTGTGGGCTGTGAGGAAAAATAGAGCTTCTTAAGACGTTTGAAGAATGTAAAGGAAGAATAATTGACTTCTCATCCACGGAGTTTTGAAGATTCTAATCGAACATGCATCAAACACAACAAGATCATGCTTCGATATGGAATGGCTATGACCATTGCAACAAAATAATTCAAGCCAGCTGATGTTGCTGATTAGCATATTAGCATATTAGCATAATTAACCAAGCAATAATAGAATGGGTGTATGATTCACATCCAGAAACTCATTTGAAGGCTCATGATACTTAATGCCTTATTTTTCTTTTCCCTTGATATGCATAACTAATTTACTATTCACAAGATATACCTGCTTGGTTCAGTAAAACCAGTCACAGCGAAGTGATCAAGCATTTGTGTACTTCCAATTTACTATTCAAAATTTTGAAGTTAGAGGTTTCTGTAGCAATCTGGTCTAAAAGAACCTAGGAAACTAAATTACCATGTGGAGGTCATTGATTTCTTGTGAGGGCGAGGGACGAAATATTAATTAATTTGTTATGCTTGAGATTGGAGATGATGTGGGTGCTCTGAAATTCAAGGGTACATCTTTCATTCAGTTAATTGGGTGTTTCTCCTTGTAATTATACGCATGAAAGACACAGACAAATATTATTTTTTGAGCAGTCTGGCTGAGATGGAGCGAGTAGGTCAACTGGTGAATTGCTTCCTTTTTGTTCAATTGACTTTCTGTCTGGTTCAGTTTACTGGTACTCAGATCATATGGCATACCCTGCCAATTCTCGTTCTCCAGTCCTTTTAAACAGTTGCTGATTGACTCAACGACATATACATATATTTGTGATTTGTAACTTTTCAATGTATGCCATTGATGAACTTTATTTATATGATATGTTGACTATTTGATTTATTCAGTGATATTAATGCTCTGTTTGACCTTCCTCTTTCCCGCTATACAGATCCCAATATAATGAAAAAACTACAAGTTGACAGGGGAGCAATTAAATTTGTCCTTTCTGGTGCCAACATAATGTGTCCGGGCCTTACTTCTCCCGGGGGTGCCTTGGATGACGAAGTGGGAGCAGAAACTCCTGTGGTATGAATAAGAGCAATTTTATGCTTTAATATTATTAGGTGTTGTTACTGCAGTTTTTTTTTTTGCGGAATTTTAAGGTGCGACCTTTTGTTTTTAGGCTATTATGGCTGAAGGAAAGCAACATGCTCTTGCTATTGGCTTTACAAAGATGTCGGCAAAAGATATGTGAGTTGCTATCTTAGTATTTGCATGACTTCTTCTTTTGTATGTTAAAGCATGCTCCTCTGTGTGATAGCACTGAGATGTTTTACTACCTTTTGTAGGTCAAAGATGTTCTGCCCTTTCTTTGTTTAGTTTGTTTATTGACCCTAAATGTGAATCCTCTGTGACACTTTATTGCCTCAATTGTTGTGAGGAATATCTATCTGCCATGACTTTAGCGGAAAACCCTTACCCCAAAAAAGGAAGGTAAGCCTTAAAGTACATATATTGGTCTTTGACCTTAAAATGTTTCCTCTTTGTGTCAAGGTAATTGGCTGGTAATGCCTTTTAGCATTAAGTTCATATATTTCTCTCCTTGACCTTAGATATTCTTGCAAGCTTTGGTATAGTGAGTTTGTGAGAAATGATAGAAATAAGACTTTTTTATTATTGAATTTTCAATTGGAAATCCTGAGATATTCAGTAATTGATAGTCGCAGTATTTGCCTTGGGCATCCATATAGTATATTTCTGTGTGTGTGTAAATTGTATGAGGTGAGAGACACAACTAGTATGAGAGACGGGATGTTGTTGATAGCATTCCATCTGCTTGAAGTGGTGGATTTGGAAAACGCAGTTTGTGAAGATATAGTCATGAGGACTAATAGGCTTTCATGATTAGATTAGTCAATCTATCTCCATTTCTTTGTACGTGTGAAAACGATAAACTTTATGTTTAGGAGTACCAAATGACTTTTTCAAACTTTGGCATTGACGATCTTGCTTATATTCTATTATGAGAGAGCTTTTCAAGTTCTGTTATTTTCATGTTTCTCTTGTCTGAGATATATATATATATATGTTGTTTCAACACCTGAAAAAGCATGTCTTACCGTTGCAGAAGGGCAATCAACAAGGGAATTGGTGTGGATAACATGCATTATCTTAATGATGGCCTCTGGAAGGTACTCTATTGCCACAACTCCTATACGAGCAGTGAATTGTTCCCTTTTGATTTATACATACGGCATTTTGTTTGCTGATGGAACATGATTATGTATTTGTGATGCAATTGTAAGAAACGTGAAAGATATTTCTTTCTGTAGTCATTGGTCAATTTGTGATCTGTGTTTCTGTTGACAGATGGAGCGACTGGATTGAGCTTGAATGAAACTCGAGACCCATCTTTTACTAGATGGACAATGTTTACCTGCTGCAAATAGCAAGAGTTACTCATCGTTATGCACCTGTTATTTCGTTTCTCTAGATGTTAGTGGGGGTTCATCCAACGGTTTTGACAGATTTTGGTTTGATATTTTAGATTTCAACTTTTAAAAATGTTAAACACAACCATAACGAAATAAATTCGATATGGTTTGTTTTTTCACTTTTCGATTTTCGACTTTGGTCTGTGCGGTGTGGTGACTTTGGTACTATTCGTTAAAGTCATATTTTAGCAACAAAAAAAAAATTAGAATAGACATTTAAAACTTGTACCTAGGGGTGTACAAACCGAACCGAAAAATCGCACCAAATTGAAAAGTCAAATCAAACCGAATTAAAAAACCCGACTAGGTTTGATTTGGTATTGGCTATTGAGTAAAAAAATTTGAACCAAATCGATATATAAATCTATAATTTTTTATATATAATTTTAAGATTTTATATAGAATTTTATTTAAAAATGTCTAGAAATATTTGAGATTCTCTCACGGGATATAATATTTAATAGAAGTATAAAGTGCATTCATTTTTATTTACTTTAAATAATAGATTGTATCACTTTCTTATTATGTGTTATTGAAATGCGTCAATCATCTCTTTGTTCTTTCATATTCATATGTCAAGATTTATTATATGTTTTTCGAATTTGAAGTGGTATTTCAATAATCTAAAATTACATAGAACATATCATTATTTAGGTATCATATTGATTTTTATGTTTAAGTATTAAATTTCGTTAACCCTGAAAGCGTACATCAACCAAAAATTATTGGTAGACGATTAAGAAAATAAACTATTATGTATTACTAAAAATAATTTCTCCCATAATATCACTTTAATAGATCATATGCTTGTTATTATGTTTTTTTTTAGTAAACTTATATTCACTTATTAAAATTTTATCTATTACTTTAATAATGCAATATTAAAATAATATTCATGTAACACAAAAAACTCGAAAAACCCGATAAAATCGAACCAATCCAAATCGATATAATGAGTTTGGTTTTGTTTTGATAAAATTCGAACTAACCCGGTCCATGTACGCCACTATTTGTACCTGTGATTCATGAAACTGTTTTTTCGGACTAAATGATTAAATCAAGCCCAAAAAAAAAAAAAGAAGCTAAAGGAGAACAAATTAATCCAAAACGATATCAATGGGTCTCGTTTTTCGCTAGAAAAGAAAAGCTAAGAAAATATGTCATACATAATAATAGTAGAAGCTAAATGTGACAAACTAACGAACTTGTTTGCAAGCATTCAACAAACTAAATATAGGGAAATAAATTTAACTTAGCATGTTTAGTATCAATTAAATCAAACAATATCTAACAGTCAAAGCAAATTCTTTGATCAATACCCATAAAAAGAAAAGTTCCAGGTTTAACCTTATTAATCACATAGAGAGCAGCGAAGCAGTGATGTTAAACGTTACTAGAGAAATTGATTTAAGCCTAAAAAATTGAATACGAGCCATCTTTTTACTTCAAATTATATTGGAATTATTCAAATATGAAATTATTGATTTTTAACTTAGTGTTGAAAACTTGAGATCACCATATGATCGGGGGATTAATGATTCGGTTCGGTCTTTGTATAAAATTTGTATCATAACAAATTTTCGGTTACTCTATTTTTGTATAACCAAAATTAGACTTTTTAAAATCGTCCTAATCATCTCGGTTTCTCTTCGATATCAGTGTAGTTCGATTAATTTTTGGTATTTTTTTACGTTATGTAAGAGTCGCTGCTATATGTTACAACGGGATCTGAACCATTATGTCAATCACCACCAACGTCATTGTTATTATTGCTATCTTTTGGAGTGTGTTCCATAAAATAAAATAAAAAAATTTGCAACACCGTGTAAATTAAAATTATAAACTATACACATTTAAATGCTAAGAACAAATAGGCTTAATTATCCAGTATTCAAGTCAAAAGACTATTTTTATAATCAGACATAGATAAAAATTCAGTCACCTTAATATTAGAAAAAGAAGAAGAAAATGGGGCCGAAAAAATAAATGCATTGTAATAAGGAAGATGAAAAATTATAAGGTTGTGATACAGACTATAGAGATACAAGTATGGATTCTGCAATACTTAAGATAATATGTGATTTATTAAATGGAGGCATCTATATATGGAGGATATGTAATGTTGTGCATTTGAGAGTGAATTCTAGTTAGATCTAGCATTCTCACACTAGGTTCAATTAAACTAGTAGCGACAAATGGACAAGTTGAGTTATAATTTGGCAGGTTAAAATGGGATGAACTAATAAATGGGTCATTGCCTAACCCTTCCCAAATATTACTTGGGCTAAAATGAGCTGAATCAATATAGGCTAAATAGTGGGTTATAGTCCAACCGCCCAACTTGACCCAATATTTTTACAATGTAATATCCTTTTGTTTTTTATGTAAGACAACCTATGTCATGAGAAATTTTTACTTTTTTTTGTATATGTTCTCTTTTATTTTGAATTTTCTTTTTGCAAGACACCATCAACAGCTCTTTCTGTGACTACAATCACAACTAATTCGATTTCTTAGATCTGGTAGTATTGACCTTGTTAATAATTTGTTATTGTTAAACATTACTGGAAAATTTAGAGAATCATTTAATTTGCAAGGTAAATTCTTGTGAATAATACTAAGTGGTTGTGAGTTCGAGTCACCCCAAGAACAAGGTGGAGAGTTCTTGGAGAGAGGGAACCGAGGGTCTATCAGAAACAGTCTCTCTACCCTAGAGTAACGGTAAGGTCTGCTTACACACTAATATGAGATCTATTATTTCACTTTTAAGATTAAATTAATTCCTATTTTATTTTAAATATTCTAAAGAGTATGATTGATCCACAAATGTGATTTATGAAAAGAACAAGTGCTTTAACCATAAAATTATATTTCATCATCAAATTATAAATTAAAATCCACCTTGCTGGACAAGGAATTACTCCTATTTTTATTTGATTGAGCATCATCGGAGGTTCACATATGTCTTCAAGAGAGAAATTTGGATACTCACGTGTGTCATAGTTGGGCACTATCATGAGTCAATTTGACCTAGTATTTTTTCATGGGTTACTTTGGACTAGCCTAATAAGCCCATCAACAAAATCACTCTAGCCCAAAATCATTAGCACTTGGGTGGGTTACATGAGTTCGTACATGTTTTGTCATCCCTAAATTGAACTCATAACTTTCGATTCATAGTATAAATTTATGTGTAATATTCATTAAAATTGTAACAGAGAGTAGATATGAATCTAAAATGTTAAAATACAATGTGTTCAATGGTAAAAACATCAAAATTGAACCCATAAAATTTAAATCCTCAATTCGTCTCTAATTACAATCACATTTTCATGGCAATAATCAGAATATTTCAAGTAAACCTTTTCAACTTACAAAGATTCTTCACCGAAATAAATAGGATTGGTCTAATGAGAGGGAAGTTAATGTAGCCAGTTTCTTAAGGCAATATGGTCAAGGAGAATGGGGTTTTAAAAAAACTTGAAAATGAGACGAGTTGGAGAAATTTCTACAAATATATATATATATGGGTACTCACTGAGGGTTAATATTGGAGGGCCTACGGAGAGGTAGAGGTAGGCCAAAGAAAAGGTGGAGAGAGCTAATTAAGTAAGACATGACACAGTTTCAGCTGAACGAGAACATGACCCTTAACAGGAAGATATGGAGGTCGAAGATTAGGGCAGTAGAGTAGATAGTTTAGAGTGTTCATAGCAGTAGTATTGGCACGCAATCTCGTTTTCTGTTGGTAGTAGGTTTTTACGACTAACCGTTATTTTCTTTCATTGTTGATCACCTTACTGTCTTATTGTTTTTATTCTGCTTTTATATGGCTTTTTAGTACTGTCCCTTCTTGTCTATATTTTCATTAATGGGAAGCTTATACTTTCCTGAGCCGAGGGTATATTGGAAACATACTCTCTATCCTCACAAGGTAGGAGTAAGGTCCCTCCCCAAACCCACAGGATATTATTGGGTATGCTGATGTTGTACTCGGTGAGGGTTAAAAGAAATTACGAAAATTTTCATCTAAAATAAAAAAAGAAGAAGAAGTTTTCTGTTCGGTTTTAATACGAATAAGGCACACAACCCTAACGCATAGGGAGGAATATAAATAAAAAAGAAAAAGTTAGTAAAGACGTGTTGAACATCTAAGTAAAGGTGCATAGGAGTTACTATAGACCTCAACAACAGAAAACACGGGGCAGCACAAACCTCTCTAAAAACCCTAGCTCCCCACTTCATTTCTTTCTTATGTTCATATAAGAGCCGACCCCTGCAGCTGCAGCCATTTCTCCATCACTCGTTCAGCGGAGTCCAGACCCGAGCAGCCATGGGTATCGATTTGAAGGCCGGAGGTAAGAGTAAGAAGACTAAGCGTACTGCCCCTAAATCTGACGATGTTTACCTCAAGCTCCTCGTCAAGGTATATCTCTAGTTAGTTTTAAATCTACTTTTTGTTTTTGTTCAGAATGTCTAAATGTTCGATTGCTTAAAGTTTGTTGCTCTATGTGTGTAATAGCTTTACCGGTTCCTGGTAAGGAGGACCGGAAGCAAGTTCAATGCGGTGATTCTCAAGCGGCTCTTCATGAGTAAGATCAACAAGCCTCCACTTTCTCTCTCGAGGTTGATCTCTTATGCCAAAGGAAAGGTATATTTTGTTAAGTTTTTCTTTGTTCAATATGTGTTTGATTAGATGTATATGTTATTTGTTTGTGGTTTTGATTAAAGTTGGGGTTTTTGAAATGTGTTTATAGGAGGATAAGGTTGTGGTGATTGTGGGTACTATTACCGACGATGTTAGGGCTTATGAAGTTCCAGCATTGAAGGTGTGTGCTTTGAGGTTCACTAAGACTGCCAGGGCTAGGATTGAGAAGGCTGGTGGCGAGTGCTTGACATTCGATCAGCTGGCTCTCAGGGCTCCACTTGGCCAGAACACGGTACTGAGTTACATCCTTATAGTTCTCTGCTACTCGCAGTATTTTATGGATCTTTGCTAGATATGAGTGATGTGTATTTATATGTTGCTACTTTTAATGTAGTAGTTGATGACTTTTAAGTTGCAAGAGGGGGTGAGGTCCCATTTTCTCAGCTTTTGATGTTCCTTTTACAACCATTGTTTAACAGCTGACCTTTTTTCATGTATTAAAGGAATGGAATAACTTCTGAAATTGGATAATAACCTTGAGTGGATGAAAAACTTAGTGAGCCTTGATTCTCTTCAGTCACCACTAGCAAATTTGTTGGCCATAAGACAAGGGCCTTACACATTTCTTGTGTCGTTCATATCTTGCTAATGTGACTGTCAGTTCTTTTTTGTTTTAATAAAGCTATATGTGACCAGCGTTTGTGAATTTCATTGTGTTTTTTGTAGATACATGTCAAAGTGAACTAATGGTTCCTGTTAATAGGTTGAAAATGAACATTATTTATGGATTGACATGGTTAAAGATTAGTCTTTCACAGCATACCAGGGAAATAGTTGGTAAAGTGCAGTATTGTGTTGTGTCTAGTGTCAGTAAATGACTCATTGTCCATTGACATGATCGATTCATGTTCTTTGAAATTGGACTGTTTCCTCTTTATTTGTAATGTTCTTTTTCTTGGTGACCTCTGCTCCATCCCTTGCACCCTAGGTTTTTTGACTCTTGCTGTTCACTTGTCGCACATAGATCTTCTTGGTAATCTTCTTCTGATTTCAAAGATTTTATCTGTGCGTATAGCAAACCAGAAAAAGATTCTATCTGCTTAAGCCTTTTCCCAGCTGAATATGGAGTTGTGCTTCAATGTAATAGGATTACACTTTTTTCCAAATAATTATTATGTGATATATTATTTGAGTCTTTTTCTGGATGTCTGCAAATTTTTTTTTTGATAAATTTTATATTTTTAAATCTTGACAAATAAAGCAAAGAAAACTAATGCATGACCTTAGCTGTTTATTTGATGCACATAGTTCTTCTTGGGAATCTTATGATTTCAAAGATTTTATCTGTGCGTATAGCAAACCAGAAGGATCCTATCTGCTTAAGCCTTTCCGCAGCTGAATATGGAGTTGTGCTTCAATGTAATGGGATTACATCTCCCCCCCCCCCCCCCCCCCACCCCAATTATTGGCTATTTGTTTATTTCGTTTCCTAGGTCTGGTATTGATTCTGTTTTACCTCTTAGTATTATTCCGATGGTACCAGAAAAGGTTTCTAATAACTTGAGAACTTTCTTTGGTTTTGAAGATTTTTTGTTTTGCTATGAGAAATCTTTAAGATGGTAGAGTATTCCGTATCCGCCTTTTTTATCTTTAAAAAGATAGCTGAGGGTCATATTTCTGTCACTCTACACATTAAAGCGTATCAGAAAGTTCCAGTTTTTTTGGATGTTGATATTTTCTATTGGTAAAGTGCAGTATTGTGGATGTGTCTGGTGACACTACATGACTCAATGAAGGAAATACGTGCTTTCATGTTAAACCTATTGACATCGTTTAGACATATTTTGTGATTGACTCACGCTCTTTGCATTCGGACTGTTTCCTCTGTATTTTGAATGTTCTTTTTCTTGGTACTTCTGCTCCGTTCCTTGCACCCTAGGTTTTATTGACCTTGGCTGTTCATTTGTCGCACATAGATCTTCTTGGTAATCTTCTTATGATTTCGAAGATTTTATCTGTGCGTATATCAAACCAGGAAAGGTCCTATCTGCTTAAGCCTTTTCCCAGCTGAATATGGAGTTGTGCTTCAATGTAATGGGATTACAATTATTTTCAAATAATTATTATGTGATATATTTTTGAGTCTAGTCTGGATGCCTGCAAATTTAAGAGGAACATTCTGAATTTTAAATCTTGGCAAAGATAGCAAAGAAAGCTATTGTATGACCTTAGCTGCTCATTTGATGCACATGGTTCTTCTTGGGAATCTTATGATTGCAAAGATTTTATCTGTGCGTATAGCAAACCAGAAGGATCCTATCTGCTTAAGCCTTTTGCCAGCTGAACATGGAGTTGTGCTTCAATGTAATGGGATTACATATTGTCCAAATAATTATTGGTTCTATTTGATTGGAAATTGTTTATTTTTTTTCTTAGGTCTAGTATTGAATATGTTAATCCTCTGAATATTATTCCAGTGGTACCAGCAAAGGTTTCTACTAACTTAAAGAATTTTCTTTGGTTTTATAGAATTTTTGTTTTGCTCTGAGAATGTTTAAGATGACAGTGTATTCCTTATCCAACATTTTATTTAAAAAAAATAGCTGATTATCATATTTCCTTCACTCCACAAATTGAAGAGTATCAGAAAGTCCCAGTTTGTTTGGATGTTGAGATTTTCTATTGATTTGCAGCTTCTCCTAAGGGGTCCTAAGAACGCACGTGAAGCAGTGAAGCACTTTGGTCCAGCTCCTGGTGTTCCACACAGCCATACCAAACCATTTGTGCGTTCTAAGGGCAGAAAGTTTGAGAGGGCTCGAGGAAGAAGAAATAGCAGGGGTTACAAGGCTTAGGTTGATTTCAGTTATTAACCTCAGAATGGTTTTTATCATTTGTAACGCTACAATGCAAGTTTTTGCAGACTATAGTATGCAGTTGCAGCAAGTTGCTTATGTTTACTCGTCTTTGTCAAGGATATTTGAGCTCTATCAACTTTGATACCAAAGTTTTGGTTTAAAATGAATGTAGCCTATCAGTTTGCTTTAGTAAATGTCAAAAATTATGGGCTTGTTAATGCACTCCCGCCAACGTGTCTGTTGAATTCCTCATGTCTTTTGACTTCGCTCTTCGGGAGTTGGGACTATCTCATGCCCCGGAAAATTTGTGGGTTTTGCAGCTTAGTAGCAGATGAGAACTTAAGCCTAGGGATGGTAATGGCCTTGGTGTTGGGTCCGGTACTCATTGCCCTTTTTTGTAATAATATACCCCTGCAATGCCTTTCTGCTGCAGCATAACCAACCACCTGCTGCCCTCCCTCTTTTGCTTCCGGGTAGTATCGCTCATATTCCTGCTGGTCTGAGCCTGAAATTTCTCGTCCTCTTTGCTCGGGCATATTACAGTGCTGATTACTCTCTTTTATTGGTGCTATTTGTATATCTTGCCCCTTTACAATTTTAAAATTAAAAAAATGACCCTTTTTAGATCTATTATACGTAAGAGACTTGTACATCATGCCCGTATAAGAAAACATAAGGTAGTACGGCATCAATTGGCAATACCATCCGCAAGTGGAAATTGGAATTCTCCGGATGGGATGGTGATCAGTATGAGGTCGGTATGGGAAGTGTTTGTACCATGAATTGCTTGAATGTACCATGAATTGCTGTTGCTTTTTTATTTTGGCCATTTGATAACTGTAGTTGCTTAATGGCCGTTTGGAGATAAATTTGTCATTACGGGTGTGTTTGGTATAACGGAAAATATTTTCTTGGAAAACAAGTAGTAATCTTATTCATTTTTCGGTGTTTGGTACGCACAAACTTCCAAACACATAAACCTCTGAACTCATAACTTTGGAACTTGTAAAATTTCGAACATGTAAATTGAAAGATGAAAAAACTAAAACTGAAAATATATTAAAAAAATATTTTTTTCGGGGGGAGGGGGAGGGGGATTGCAGAAAAACGAAAAAATAANAAAAAACAAAAATTTGAAATTATATATTTTTTTTTTGCGGGGTAGTAAGGTGGGTGGTGACGAAAAAAAAAACTAAAATTTGAAAAAATAAAAACCTTTTTTGAGAGAGGGAGTGTGGTGGGTAGGCATGGGGTGGGGTTAGATGGGTGGGGTTCCGAAAAATATTTTCCTTGGTACCAAACACACCCTAAGTATCCTTTATAGTTATGGATGAGTGACCTCTCCACTTATCTTCAAACCTACATTAATTACTACAGATCATCGATCAATGAATAGTCTTTCCATTTATCTTCAAGCGTCCACTTCAAATTTTCAATGCTACACAAGAACGGAACTAGTTAATCAAACAACAACAACAACTCAGTAAAATTCCACTAATGAGGTCTGATGAGAGTAGTGTGTACGCAGACCTTACCCCTACCCCAAAGGAGTAGAGAGATTGTTTCTGAAAGACTCTCGGCTCAAGAAAATAAAAGGACAAAAGGAGACAATATTAGTATCACCACAACAATCATAGGAACACCATGAAATGCAGAAGAAAGATGCAAAGAAAAAACGATAGCTAGTAAATAGGACATGCACTGAAAAGCGAAGTAGTAAAATACAACATTGTCACTAGCTATCTTAGACAAAAACCCTATCTGGCTAGTCTCACAATAGTATGAAGTAGGTCAAGGCTCAACTACATCCTAACCTACAACTCTAATACTCGACCTCCACATCCTTCTATCAAGTGTCATGTCCTCGGAAATCTGGAGCCTCGCCATATCCTGTCTGATCACCTCTCCCCAATACTTCTTAGGCCGCCCTCTACCTCTTCTCGTGCCCTCCACAACCAGCCGCTCACACCTCCGTACCGGAGCATATGGGCTTCTCCTTTGAACATATCCGAACCATCTAAGCCTCGCTTCCCGCATATTGTTATCAATGGGAGCCACGTGCACCTTCTCCCGAATAACATCATTCCTAATCTTATCTATCCTAGTGTGCCCGCACATCCACCTCAACATCCTCATTTCTGTTACTTTCATCTTCTGGATATGTGAGTTCTTAACGGGCCAACACTCAGCCCCATACAACATGGCCGGTCTAATCACCGTTTTATAGAACTTACCTTTGAGTATTGGTGGCACTCTCTTGTCACACAGGACTCCAGATGCTAACCTCCACTTCATCCATCCTACCCCAATACGGTGTGTGACATCCTCGTCGATCTCCCCTCCCCCTGGATAACCGAACCAAGGTACTTGAAGCTACCTCTACTCGGGATGACCTGTGATTTAAGCCTCACATCCACGCCCACTTACCCTGGCTTAGCGCTGAATTTACACTCCAGATATTCCGTCTTTGTCCTGCTCAACGATCAAACTAGTTGATCAAACCACTCAAATATTCCATTTGCTTATATTTCAATTTTGATTTTTAACCATACAATTAACCCTATTTCTCTATTTTTGTGTCATTAGTCCAAACCATCTAATCAGAGAGAAATTGTATTGATAATGGCATCTCAACAGGCTTTAATTCAGAAAGATTATAAAAAGGCCTTTTTTTCTCAATTTTATCAACTGTTTGATAATTGTTAATACCGATTTTAAGGTTCTGTTTCCTTTCTCCCAGCAAGAAGCCCTTCATTGAGCACAACTTCAGTCAGTATTTTCAACTTGATTTGAGTTGAGAGAAAGAGATGTAAGAAATTGGAGTGCTCAAGGTCTCTCACTTAGTTTTGGGCTTTGAAAATATTCTATGCATAACACTTGAGTTGTAATTTCAGAAGGCAAGAGCAGTGAACTAGAACTAAAATTAAAGCGTTTTGTAAAACATCAGAAACATGCAGATTAATTCATTCAAAGTTTGCCGATACCAAACCACATAATTCCAGTTTAGTAACTAGAATAGCAGTAAATCGCAAGCAAGAAGAGTATATATGATCAGAACTTGTTAATGAAGTCATGAATGTGAGAGTTAGTCTCTTGAGCTCTTTCTTGATTAATGAAATGTGCAGCTCCTTCCATCACAACCACATCTTCCTCAAGCATTGGAACATCCTTCTTGAAACCACCTCCGTGCACATACTCTTTCATTCCTGGTGTCGTATACACCAAGTCCAACTCACCAACCACAAATTTCACCGGAACCTTCACTGTTGCTCCCGTCCACGCAGCTGTCAGCTCCCAGCTCCTGCAAAAAAATAATCCAACACTATAAAATACATAGTACGTATATGAAAAGTTTTAACTTAAATATGTTTAACATACCCCTAGATAGTTAACAGCAATTTTAACATAATTAGGGGTAATGGAACGTACAAATCGAGTGCGCGGTAGTAGTTCAATCCTCCAGTGAAGCCCTTTTGGTCAAACTTGCTAGAGTAGTAGTTGAGGTCATCTTGAGAAAGCCAAGAGGGTAGCTTAGAATCAGAGGAAATGCCAAAGGGGTTTTCCTTGGGCAAGCAAGGGGGTCCTGGTTTTCTATCTGTGAGTATCTTTTTCAGTACTGCTTCGCTGCCATATTTCGCTATCTCATCTTCCATTCCTGGATCCTGTAACACAAGAACCATGTCAAAATATACGTTATCTTTATATTTCGCGATACAAAACCATGACAACAAAATTAAGCTTAGATTCGTGGAGTTGGTGAAGTGGATTACTATACAGCATTTATTCAGCCGCGCATCAGACCTCAAGTTGCCTACAATCATGATAACCAAACCAGAGGGGAAAAAAGACGAAGTTGCTGTAAAGTTTTGTATTTTATCTGAGAAGACAATAACAAAGCATATTCCTACTGGATAATCAAAAAATTTAAAACATAATCAGCTATTTAACTCCACATGTAACCATAAGAACACAGAAAAATACTAGTAGTAACATATTATGGAGCAAGTTGTACTTTTGATTTTTACTAAATTTCTTCTCTTTTGATGGACTAAACTTTGTATTTAAAGCACATTTTGGACAAATTTAACAACAATTAGGTGTAATTAAACGTACAGAACGAGTGCGCGTTAGCTAGTTCGATCCTAAAATGAAGCCCTTTTGGTCATATTTAATTTGGTAGATGGAGTACTAAATTCGACTGTGTTAACGAACTAAACTACTAGTACTAACAACTCACCCTGACACAGGCACGTTACATCATTAAAAACCACCGCTTACCAGCATTCTTAAATTCTACGTTAGTGCAACTAGTACATTGGACCCATTAACATTTCGGTACAACATGAGGACAAATTGGAGGTACTGTCTTGGATGGTCAAATTTGGCAACAATAATGCCAACTTTCCATGTGTAATAAGGACTTCTGCATCTACTGTACTCTCTTCCTCAAGAACAAGTGGTCAATTTATATGTACATAGAAAATATTTGTTTAACTTCTTTTCTCTTTTGTTTTCAGTACTTGAAAAGCTTATACATCTAGAAGTTACAAGGAGTACTAAAAGCCTGTTTAAATATTCCTTTCGTCTTGTGTTGTTTGCTTACTTTGGAAGAAAATAAGAGATACCATTTAACTTTTCAAAGAATTTTCTTTAGACATGGATATGCTTAGATTTTTTTTCTTTTTCTATCCGATGTTCGGAATATGTATTAAGCCTCGACTAAATCCAAATTCTAGCCTGGAAGTCCCATATCAGAGGTAAAATACTCCCTGATAAAGATGACTTTATACCCAATGCTCGAACCAGAGGCGCATCTATAGCCTATAATACATGGCACATGAACCCATGGTCCCTCCATCAAATTAGGTATTTTATGTACACATTTTTTAGAATTTGTCCACTATTATGTATTGGTACCCATGTTCCATAAATGTTTAATGATGCACTTGATTCAATACTTAATTATTTTCCCTCCTTTTTTTAGTGGTGCACCCACGTTCTCGAAATCCTAAATCCGCCTCTAACTCGAACCCGAAACATATGATTAATGATGAATAAGTAGTACCACTCCACCACAACTCTTGTTGATGCTTAGAATGGTTCATTACTAGGTACTAGTAATGAAAAGAACTGTCAAACTTTTTTTGCATGCAAAAGAAATAAAGGAATAAAACTATATAAACAACATTTTACACTATTAGGGTACTTAAAAAGGAAT